TACAAGCACTGTCTGTGTTTGTGTATTGAAGATATATTATCTATAGTCTTTACACACTCATGTATACAAACGACAGAGCTGTTTGAACACACTTGTGTTGAGCTCTTCAGGCGCTCAGGGTCACACTGCTGTGCAGGCACCGAAAGAAGTGGCAGATTTGTCAGAAAAATGTGAGGATCTGAGCTGTTTTGGGAAAAAAAAGAATAAAATCTGTTCTGTATTTCGGTGCATAATCTCCATCTGAGTTCGTGATGAGTCTGGCCCATGAAGTGCACGTGGCCCATATTCATACCCGGCGTGTGCAGCTCCCTGCCATATGAACTGTTAGCACTCAGGAGTGTGTAACACAGTCCCACCTCTTCACACGCCCTGAGAAGCATGGGGAATTTGCGGGATTGATGTGGATACAGCATCCCGGCTGAGCAAGCAGCAGGCATAACTGTGGAGCTCACCTACGAACTGTCTTAACTTGAAATGTCTGAAAATTCTCTCTGCTTTGAGTATCAAGGGCATCTAAACTGGTAGTTTGAAATAGACACTTGACTTTATACTTTCTGGATCTAGGGTGGAGGGCTCTTGCCCTCCAGAAGGAAACTGGGAGGCTGTTTTTGTAAAGGAAAACCCCCTCATTGAGCTCATAGTGAAACCCAGGACTTGATCAAGAGCAAACTCCCTTGCTTCCCTGCCATGCCAAGTGTCCTTCTGTTAACAGCTCTGCTCAACCATTGCTTCTTGTCTCTTTGCTGTGATTTTGCTTTTCCATGGTGAAGCAAAGCCATGCTTTGTGCCTGTTAGTTATCAGTTCCCCCTCCATTAGTTCCCCTCATCGAAGGAGGTGATCTTGCCAGTCTACTCTGCTCTCATGAGACCTCACTTGGAGTATTGTGCATAGTTCTGAAGTCCTCAGCATAAAAAAGACATGGAGCTGTTGGAACAAGTCCAGAGGAGGCCACGATTATGATCAGGGGACTGGAGCACCTCCTGTATGAAGACAGGCTGAGAAAGTTGGGGCTGTTCAGCCTGGAGAAGAGAAGGCTGCGCGGAGACCTCTCATAGCAGCTTTCCAGTATCTGAAGGGGGCCTATAGGGATGCTGGGGAGGGACTCTTCATTAGGGACTGTAGTGACAGGATAAGGGGTAACGGGTTCAAACTTAAACAGGGGAAGTTTAGATTGGATATAAGGAAGAAGTTCTTTACTGTAAGGGTGGTGAGGCACTGGAATGGGTTGCCCAGGGAAGCTGTGAATGCTTCATCCCTGGCGGTGTTCAAGACCAGGTTGGAGAGAGCCTTGGGTGATATGGTTTAGTGTGAGGTGTCCCTGCCCATGGCAAGGGGGTTGGAACTGGATGATCTTAAGGTCCTTTCCAACCCTAAATATTCTATGACTCTACTATCCTTCTGTGGGTAGTAGCCTTCAGAGAGGAGAATCTTGATTCATCACTTGTAGTCATCCTCCCTCCAAACTCTGGTGCTGCTCAGCTCATGTTTAGTGACCTTTTGCTCCCATGTTCCCATTTATAGTGCTTTGGTGTTGATTTCCCTTCTCTGGTTATATAGGGAAGCAGAAGGGTTCCCTGACTTGTTGCCCAAGAGCTGGCCACAGCCCCATCCATAGTAGAGCAGCAGATAGCACAGATCAGTCAATGTGCAAAGCAGCATCTTTCACCAAGACAGACTGTGCTAAATCAGTTCCTTCTCACTGCGCTTTGAAACCTTCCCATTTCTTGCTCTGACAAACCAGCAGAGTTTGTATTGGTCTGATGATGCAAAAAAGCACATAGTGTGGGCTGCAAACACCTGGTGGAATAATAAAACAGAAAGGAGGGAGGGCAGGACCATCCATATTTTAGCTTATGTCAAGCAGGAAGTTGTCTTCTATCGTCTTTTCTCTTTCAAAGCATCATTTGTTTGTAAGGGAAGTGAAAAGCCCCATACATTTTGGTCCCATACATCTCCAGCCACATACATTGTGGTCTGAGCTTCTAGCTATCAGCAAAGACAAAATCAGAAGTTCCTTCACTGTCTGTGTTGCTACCTGGGGTTGGGAGGAGGGGCCAGTGTTGAGTCTATTTCTCCCCACCAAGGCTTTCCAGCTCCTGCAGCAGCTCTTCACCCTCTCTTGTGCAGAAAAGACTAGGTAGAAGCAGCCTGCAGGCCACCAACTGGGGTCATTGGCCTGTAGCATGAGCCTTCAAACCATTGAGAGGCACAGCAATGAGGTGGCAATAAATAAGTGCAGTACACACCTTGCTGTGTGCTCACACACTACCTCACCAGACTATGAACACGATTGTGGTCTTTGACAGCCACGTTGCTGATGAACAGAACTGCTGGGGACAAGCTGATGTGAAAGCAGTGTGCTTTCACTCCTCTTCTGCAGGTGACGTTCATGAAATCCCTTGCAATCAGGCAACCATCATGTGCTGCATTTCAGAGCTTCACTTTATTCAGATACATTATGTTACCAGCTGTTTGCATCTGGGATTTCTTTAAGCACTGAAAGCACTATGGGGATATGAAACTATGGGTTGGGAAAGAGTAGAAAACCAAAGAAGCTCCACACAGCTTTGCCAAAACACTAAAGTACAAAGCCAAACACCTCAGTAAATATTCCCTCTTCCTCTTTTCACCTTCTTTTATTCTTATTTCAACTGTTATATCAACTTATTTCAATAGATGGGGCATAATACGTGCAAGCCGGACTGTGTTTCCATCCCTGACATCATGTGTTACCACCACAATAAACTCACTGCTTTATCTCTTGCCTTGAGTAAACTCATATTAAAACTGGAACATCACTGTATAACGATCATCTTGGGGATGCAACAGATATGTGACAGTAAGAGGATGGAGAGATGCTGAAGCAGAGCTCAGACACTCGGACTTTTATCTGTTGGGGAAGCCCAGCAAGCTTGTGGTTCCCTGTGCCCATGCTATCACGAGCCATATAGCTCTTAGTCCAAGTGGGTCAAACCATTGCAAAGCCCTTCTGTGAGCCCCTGGAGCAGCTTTACAGCTGAACTGAAAGCTGTTTAACACAGACTTCATGGAAAAAATCTCACTCACCAAGCAATACACATTATGAGAAGCCATATTTTGCATAACATTACTTACCGGATGAAACCCTTGTAGCAAGATAATTTATTGCCATGGTGGTAACTGGATGACATTTATGAGTAGCCTTGTTTTATAAGGCTTTTCTTCGGCTGCAGTGCCAGGGCTCCAGTTGTGCTCATGGAAAACGAGAAGGGAAGCAATTTTATTTAGCATACATTATCCTCCAGTGGCATGCTGGTGTGAATAACAACGGGGATAAAGTCTGCTTGGATTGCATGGGATTGTGCATTCCAGGATTGTAACTTTGGAGTGAGTTGAAGGGAAAAGCTTATTTTGACTGAAGTTGTCTCATAATAAACTCCGTATCTCGCATGGCCAGCTTGAGGCTCAACAGAGGTTTTGGCACATCTGAATTTTTGCTATGGGGAAGAGGCCAGGGCCAGGGTAAGACTCGGTCTGTCCTGGTTCCAGGAAAGGGAGAGATGGATATGGGGCAGAGCTAGGAAGAAGGACAGGAGCACCCAGGAGAGCTGAGGGGTGACAGGGCAAAAGCGATGCTGCTGGAGATGGTCAATGTTGCAGATACCATGGCAATGGCTCTTGAATGGGTGAAGTTGATGTGCACCAAACACCGCAAGGATGCCAGCACATCCAGCCCCATTAGTCCACAGGAGCGCGTGATTTTTAACCCACAGAGCTAAAGCAGAAAGCTGAGCTGTCCTCAGCTAACCCCCTGAGCCCACATCTCTGCAAGGCGGCTTTGCACTGGGGGCTTAGCTCATCTGGCACTGGTGGGGAGAGGTGATGAGTGAGGGCAGAAATGCAGTGCTGTGGCAGCCATATCCTCAGCAGCCTGTACTCCCCCTGCCAGGCTCCTGTGGACCCTCTGATCCACTCTGGTGATGCTTTAGGACTCGCCATGGCAAAAAATACCATTAAATGAAGCTGGGGATCCCTGCAGTGCTCAGGGAAATGCCTTGGCTGGAGAGTGGTGGGGCTGAACCATACTGTGGGGCTGGGTCCATTCTGCTGTGGATCCAGACATGTGTGAATGTCATGGGGCAAGCCCACAGCAGGGGGGCTGCCTGCGGGCTGCCTAAGTCATGCTGAAGAAGGGATTTCCAAAAGCCAAAGAGGCTTAGGCAGCCCATATCCCATTAGCAGATAGTGGGATTGTGCCTGTGCACTATGAAGGGCTTTGCAGGGCTGAGTTGGGATCTGTAACTGCAAAGCAAAGTTGCTCCTTCCCTTACGGTGCTCTCTGCAAGAAGAGAGCCAGGAAAGGGCTCGAGCAACTGTAGAGGAGCTTCCTCAGGCCACGGCTCATTTATTTCTTAGCGCCCAATCTACAGGAGCTTGGAAGTCTCATAAAAGTCTTCTATACCGAAAAACTTTATAGGTATTATTTGTTAACTCTTGTAATAAACCATACCTGTATGGAAGCACTTTTGCACCAGTATCGTGATAAATAGGACACCCCAAGTAGGACAAGCCCATTTTGGGATTCAAAGCCAAAGGAGCAGCTGGTGCAACCCCAGGGAGCATTGTCAGCATGGCCCTTGCTTGCTTTGAACTACCTTGAATCACGGCTGTTGAGGGGCTTGGGGACATTTGCCTGGGTGTTTCCTCTCCTGGCCAAGCTCCTCTGTGAAGCCAGAGGCTGTGGTACAAAATGCTGGGGCCCTTCTGCAAACAGCCCCATTTTCCACACTGGAGCAGCCTCCTCCTGGAAGCCACTCCATGACAGCTACCAGGGTGGCTTTTCTTTTCCTCTTCCAGCCTTTTCTTTCCCCAGGGCCAAAAGAAGGGGGATTAATGAAAGGAAAAAAGCCCAAAACCAGAACACAAACCACAGACTGAAAGTGCTGTGGTGAATGAAAGGCTCCACGTGCTGGGCTGGAAAGCCAAGTGCCCTGACATACATGTCTCTTCTCTCTTGCAGATGACGGAGGGCCGCAGATGCCAAGTGCACCTTCTCGATGACAGGAAGCTGGAGCTGCTCGTTCAGGTATTAACTGCACGTTTCTCCACGCAATGGTGTGCTGCGGCTGCATGTTCTTGCTGTGGTGGGGAGAGAAAAGGGTTTTCAACTGCTTTTCTTGGCAACTTCAAGCTGTGATTGCCTTTGGAGCTCAGGGAAGCTGCACTCGTGCTGGGTGGGGAGGATCTGCAAAGATATATCCGTGGGAAGGGGTAATTCAGGACATATTTCACTTTGTTCTGTGCCAAAAGCTGTCCCAGTCACTGTCAGTGGGATAGAAAAGCAGTTTTGGTCATTTCTGACACTGTTACTATATCAGTTAGCTATTTTTTGAGGCGTTGCTTAGCTTTGAGAAATGCATTGCTTAAAATACCTCCAGAAACTCTTTCCTGTGAGGGTGGTGAGGGGCTGGCACAGGGTGCCCAGAGAAGCTGTGGCTGCCCCATCCCTGGCAGTGTTCAAGGCCAGATTGGTCAGAGGGGCTTGGAGCAACCTGCCCTATTGGAAGGTGTCCCTGTCTGTGGCAGGAGATTAGAACTGGATGAGCTTTAAGGTCCCTTCCAGACTAAACCATTCTGTGATTTGTTTCTATCTTCTTTCCTTGCCACCCTAAATTGCAGGGTATGATGCCAGGCTCCATGTCAGAGGCGGTGGCCAGGAGCACAGCCAGCAGAAGGGGCTGCAGTGCGGGTGCCATAGTCAGGCATTGCTTGGGACACTAATCATAAAATCATGTGTCAAACACAAATATACTTTAACATAAGTCTGTGCTCCATCCGCCTTACTTTTTATTAAAGAAAAGCACAAAGGAAAACTAGGAGAGATGGGAGTTGTGCTGGCTGTGTGAGGATGGGCTGATGCACCAGTACCATCCTCCGCTTTTCCTGATAGAATCAAATGTGCTTAACAGCAGAAATAAGTCTGTGTCTTTCTTGATAGAGCCATAGACTGTTTTCAGTTGGAAAGGACCTTAAAGATCATCCAGTTTTCTAGTTTTTTGCCGGTTTTGGCTCATGTCTCCAAGACCACCAAAGGGTTAATAGCAAGAATGACAGGAATGTCTTTCCTTTTACTAGCGCTGCCTGCCAGCTACAGGCAGCCCAAGAAGCAGGAAATGAAACTTCCCATAGCGCCCAAATCCCCCGGCTGGGAGGGGGGCAGGATCCTGCCCAGCACAGGCAGACCTGAATGGGGATTGCTGGAGGCAACTTCAATCGCCGGAAGCACGTTTTCAGCTTTGCTTTCTTGGAAGTTGCTTAAAAACACCATTAACGAATGTTAATGGTAATGTTTTTTCATGTCCACAGTCACTGAGGAGGTGAAATCCCTCAGCTTGTTGTGACAGTGCAGTCAGGATAGCCATGAATGAGTGGCTGCTCCAGCCAGGTCTGGAAAGAGAACAGCTAGATCAAGATGAGTAATTAAAACCAAACACCATACCAATGGTCTTCGCACTGTGAGCATCCCTGCACCCACCTCACTGATGCTCAGCAGTTGCCTGGGGGAAGATCAGCCACCTTCATCGCAAGGACGCAGCACTTGGGTTCCTATTTCATATAAATGCCTTTTTAATTCTTCTTAATTTGATTAAAAATGAATGGGCTCTTGGAGAACAGCTCTGCTAAAGCACTTCTCACAGTATTAATAATCACAGTTTAAAATATACTGCAGGAAATCTGCCCTGTCCATCCTGCTTATTCTAGGGTTTTATCAACACAAAAAAAAAAAGCCCACAGTGAAGATAACAGTTGAGGAGGCTGGTTTGGGAAGCTCCATATCCACTTCTGAGTGGGCAGAAGCAGTATCATGTGATATTATGGGGTTTTAAGTGTTTGATCACACCTTTGAAGGGAATTTCTCCTAATCAATAAAGACAGTGAATTGCTCTGTAAATCACACTAACTAGTTTGCAAGTGACCCACGGCTGAATTTTATTTGTACAATAAATTGTTTTTGCTGTTTGCAACGTATGAATGGGGAAAGACAGGAGGGCTGCTTATGAAAAATTCATGCCCAGGAAAAGCAGTAACCTCTCTTGCACGTAGCTTGACCTAGATCTCTGAGTACCACCATGCCCCTATGTGTACAGCATTGTCCACTGAGGCATCTCAGGTGCCTTTCTGGTTAAATGAGGCTTTTCAGTGCTGTTAAGTAGCTTCTGCTCAGGGAAATAGTAAATAAATCACTTTTGGGTGGAGCAGCCAACAGAGGAAGAGGATGTTTGGATTCAAGTATGTCTCTAATATCAATACTCTTTGTAGACCTGGGCACAATGCTTTGCTTTGCCTGCATCTAAAGCATGGGCAAAGCCACCAGCTTTGGGGTGATCCTAGGGCTGCTCTGCCCAGGGTCCTCAATCAACCAGCCTCCCTCTGGGAGCAACGTGCTCTTTGCTAGGGGAAGTCTCACCAAGTGACCTGTATTGTTTGTAACTTGTGGTGAGATTTCAGATAAAAGTTGCTTTGTAAGTTCTGAGAACTGCTATTCTTATTATTGCCTTATCTCATAGCTGAACTGGATAAGAAGCTGTAAATAAAAAGTTCATCCAGCTCTGAGCTTCTGGCTGTCACTTCAAAGCTGTGTTTTCCTGTGGGTACCTTGCCACAGGCTGAAATAGAAGGGTGATTTGCTGCTTTATGCCATAAAAGAGGTTCCTCCATAGCTGCATTAGGCCTTAGCATCTAGACCTGCATTGGCTTGAGTCCCCTGGGAGCAGAGCTCTTTAACTCTCATGTCAAATTTCACCTTTCCCACCAACCTAAACCTTTCTTGGAAGCTTTTCCACAGCCGATTTATCACTCCAGGGAAGACTGCTGGGAATCAGCAGAACTGATTTGTCTGCCATGGGTGAGATCAAAATAACATCCTAACCTGGATCTGGCTTTACGCTGCCTTGCAGCTCTTGTGTGTGTGTGTGTGATATCAAGTGCTCTGCTTAAAGAAGGGTTCAGGGCTCCTGCTGCTGTGCTGTGGTGTGGAAAAGAACAGCAGAAGAAGCTGGGTCTGATCAAAGGAGGGAGACTGGTAGAGCTGCCTTGAATGGATGCAGGAGAGCTCCTGGAGCATCTTGAAACTGCTTTAGGCCAGTGACTCTGGGGAGCTGAAATGATTTCCTCTCCTGATGCCTCCTGTGCTGCTGGGCAGAAACAGATGCATCTGGGAATGATCATGGTGTTTGCAAAAAGCAGTGTGTTAAGTGAATGCACTCCCCTTTTTGTCTTCAAATTAGCTGTGATCAGGCTCAGGGGTTTATGAATATGCCATTCGAAACATATCCATTGGGGGTAATGAGGACCATACTTCGGGCTGCAGGAGGACAGCAAGTGGTAACTGTGCTCCTGTGGTTGTTCATAGGAGTCAGCCTTGGCTCCGTGAGACAGCTCCACCAGACCAGATTGAAATGCTTCGACACCACAAATTCTTTCCCACAGCTACAAAGACCCCTCAGATTGGCCTCACAGCTATTGCGAGTGGGACCCCACACACACATGTGTTTTATTTGCATTACTGAGCCCCAAAAGTAAGACTTTGGCTCAGAGGCAGCATTTATAACCCCTTTGAATGCTGGCTTGCTTTGGTGTTGGCACATAACACAAGGGCTTGGAGTTACCACCACCAGGAAAGTGATCCTGGGTTTAGTCAATCAAAGGGTCTTGACTAAAGTCTTTTCCTCCCAAGTTGAGCAACTGCAGAGTGGCAGAGCAGCAGCTAAGGAAAAGCAGAAACACAGGCTTTGCGGATGAAAGCAAGCCCTCCCCAGTGTGTTTTGTCAGATAAATGCTGAAATTTAGAAGGACTAATCATAAATGGAGACAGAGGAGGATCATACGGAAATCTCTTCCTGAGGGTCTGAAACCCAAAGCGTGTTTGACTTGGGATTAGGAAGAAGAGTTGCATTTGGTATGTGTTTCATTTGATAAATGCCTGTTGACAATCTGGGGTGTGTGGCAAGTTTACATAGGATATTCCTTTGACAGCTTTTTCTTTCTGAGCAGGAGCAGAACTGGATCTTCTTACAACCTGTTTTTTTTCCCCTGTTTCTGTTTGATGCATGTTTAGTTTCTAACACAGTTTGGCTTTATCCAGCTAATCCTTTTCAGCAAGCAAGTCCCTTCTCTTGCTTCTGGAAAATGGATTTACCCACATTCCCCACTCTCAGCTTCTCTATCTGTTATATTATTTCCCGCTGTATCACTTGTCTGCTGCACATGAAAGATTTGCATTGCTTTACTTAAAGACTTTTGCATAACTGGCAATTCGTTCCTTTTCATGTGGGTTCTTATGAACAGGGCTTCTTTCCGGGCTGGCTGAATCAGGAGGCCTGGATCGCTCCTGGTGCCGGTTATCTGGCAGCAGCTCCAGCAACTGTCATCCAAAAGTGTTAAGCCTCCTAATTCCTTCTCTCTGGAAAAGTTATTGCAGAAACAGAGCTCATCTGAGGCTCGTAGCAGAGCTGCCTGTGGGGTCTGGAGGGCTCTGAAATTTCATCATAGGAAATAACTGGGCTTTTTGTTTCTAACCTTCTCCCTGAAGACCACAAGTTCAATTTGGAGATAATAGGGAGAGATGAGGAGTCAACACCACACTTGTATTTGGGTGGTTAACCCACCTGTATGTCCATGTTGCCATTTCTTAAGCAACTCTTGCTATCAGGGGGCTCAGGGCAAGCTAGGTAAGCTTGCGACCTTTGTATTTCCCAGCTGCCATGCAAGTGCATCCAAGCCCACAATCACAGAATAAACTGGGTTGGGAAAGACCTTTGAGATTATCAAGTCCAACCATTACCCCAGCACTGCCAAGGCCACCAGTAACCCATGGCACTGAGGGCCTCAGCTACATGGTGTGTGAACACTTGCAGGGACGGTGACACTGCCCTGGGCAGCCTGTTCCAGTGCCTGACTGCCCTTGCAGTTAAGAAATTCTTCCTCATCTCCATCTAAACCTTCCCTGGTGCAGCTTGAGGCCGTTTCCTCTTGTCCCGTCCATTGTTCCTTGGGAGCAGAGCCCAGCGCCCTCCTGGCTCCATC